GGGAAGGGAAGAAGGGAGGATGTGAATGGGAATGAAGGAGGGATAGGGCTACAACCAGGATGTGAATGAATGAATGAACGAATGAATGAACGAATAAATAAATAAATAAATAAATAAATAGATAAATGAATGAATAAATGAATAAATAAATAAATAAATGTGAAGCAGAGATGCCATTCAAGCCAATAAGCCAGGAAAAGGAAGCATCCAAACCCTCCCACTTACTGCTGAAAAGGTGACCCTAAAACCAGGCAACGGCGATTCAAGTGTCATTAAGCATTCCAAGGGATCTTGGCGATGATTACATTCTATTTTCCACTTCTTAAATGAGCATCAAGTGCATAAACAGCCAAGCATTTCCAACCCTAGAATCATTCTTATTTCCCTGTGCTACCACAGAGTCACCCAGGAAATTCTGCTATGTGATCTGCTGAAACAAATACACAACAAAAGCATAGTCGGGCTAGAAACCATGCCAAGTACAAAGAGAAATGGTGTCCAGAAAACAGAAGATACTGCCGCCACCCCAGAATTAAACCCAGAAACCTTCAAACGCTAGGCAAGGGTCTGCGCCCTGCACTATATCTATCCCCAACTCTCTCCCCACCCCCCTCTCTCCCTCCTGCCTTCTTGTTTTGAAACTAAATAGTTGCTGAACTGTCTAGGCTAGTGCTAAGCCCATGTTTTACCTGCCTCTGTCTCCCCAGTAGCTGGAGTCACAGGCACCCAGCACTACCTACTCTTCAAGACAGACAATCAGAAGAGGTCACGTACAACTAACTGGCAAGAATGCCAAGACAGAAGGGTTTCTATGAAGCTGTGCTTGGGAACCAATTCCTAATGAACCATCCTGAACAACCTGGAGTCTGAAACCCCTGTTCCTTTGCTCCTTAGAAAAACACTTGATGTGAACATCTGAGACTGTGTACATAACATGCCATCGCGGAAAGGACCAGGATTCCTTGTACTGCAGTGTCTTGTTTTTTAAAATACTTAGTTAGGATCAGATTCAGAAATCAAGGGGTTTTGGCTTTGTTTTTTAAGCATGTAGTCAGAGATGTAGAACTATTTCATACATGTTTATGTGTGGGAAGAAGGAGGTGTATTTTTAAATTTTTATATATTTAAATATATATATTTTAAATACAATTATGTTCTGACCCAATAGGCTGTAAGATTTAGAAGAGCCATGATAAATCTGCACATGATTTAACAACCTTTTGCATTCAGCATCTGTTCTAAGCAGCCAGGTCACATATAGCAAAAATGGATTCACCTACATGAGTCTCTATCTGTCTTGAGGACATCCCTCTGGACCTCTTCTTTATCTTTCAAAACACACAGTCCTCGGGGCTAAGGCAAGAAGTGTCCACTGTGGTTTCTTTATGCTAGGGATAAAAATTCTAAAACTTCTGCTAAGTGAACCATGATTCTTTTCTACTAATATATTTAGAGACATCACTTTTAATTTTTAGCTCCAATATGTAAGGCAAGTAGTAAGCATAAGTTTAATATAACTCAACACTGTAATGAAGTATGAATAGCCCAATAGACAGTTGTGAGTGTAGGTATATTCCCCCGAGTGACAAACCTATTCAAATAAAGACCATGACATAACATGACATAATTTCATCAGTTTTCATTAAAATTTTCTAAAAGGAAGTCTAAAAATGATGACTAAGGATCAGAGGTTTTGTTTTTTTGTTGTTTTTTTTTTTTAACCTAAGTAACCTTTTCCAGGGAGGCTGAGAAGCACAGCCACTATTAAAAATATTGCTAGAATGAAAACAAATGACTACTAAGGGAGAAAGACATAATGCAGTAGAGAAAATAAACATGTAAATTTGACCTTTCATCAATACTCCAAGGTCACTCTCATTTGCTTGGGTAGTTTCACCATTAAATCTTGTGCATAAACATCCTTGCAACAGCTAAAAAATACATTTTAGTTTAGTGTTTCATGAAAATATATCATCTGATTTTCATTATAAACTCTAAGCTGTTCTGTTTCTTTTTAATAACCATAGTAAAGAACTGGCAAGGAACTTACCCTTTGCCTTTTGAAAAATGCACACTTGACTGGCCAGTACTGTGACCATCTGTGATTTGCATGATTAAGAAACATACATAGTTTAGTTCATATGTGTGTGTGTGTGTGTGTGTGTGTGTGTGTATGTATGTATAAAACCCTTTCTTACCAAGAGTCAGTTTTAAAGCAGAAGAGAAAGCTGTTATTGGAGAGCAGCTGGAAGTGCTAGTCCTTCAGCATAAGTTAGACTCACCTTCATTATTGATTTGTCTTAGCAAGGGAATGTGGAATAAATCAGAGAAAATATTTATTGCTCATTTACCACAGTCTTTTTATTTTAGTGAATGTTGTAATAAGCTTTTTCATAAACTACCTGAGACTGGTAGGTAAATAATTATTAATTTCTGGTAAATGTTGGAGGTGAAAGAAGACACAATGTATACTATAAATCTACTCCATGCCAATAAACCTCTAAAGTTTCATCATTAATGTCCAATTCTCTAGGATTTATGATTCTGGATTCTATAAAGCTAAAACTTCATAAAATGGTCTTTGTTCAGAGCATAATTACTAAAATGTAAGAGGCATCAGATTATGTCCCCAAAACATTTATTTTGAAGTCCTAATCACCCCAAAACAATAGAAATCACATTGCAGAAGACAGCAGTCAAGATGAGTGATAGAAGGAATTTCTAGCCCTCTAGGAGATGGAGGTCTTTGCAAGACACACACAGGGACATCTGGTAACAATGAAGGCAGAGACTGCACAATGGCAAACCAAGGAGATCTCAGTAAACCCCAGAAGCTAGGAAAATGCCAGGAAGATTCTTACACATGTGTCAGAGTTGGCATGGGCCTGCCTTTGCATCTCTAGCCTTCAGAAATGCACAGGCATATAATTCTGTTGTCTAAGTCACCTGTCTTGTTTGTTGCAGCAGCCAAGATAGAAACACATGAAGAAATTTAATGACTAGCTGGTAGAAAAGGGACTGTGATCCAAGACAAGATAAAAAAACAAAATCTTATATTTCTGAAGGATTGTCACTCCAAATCACAAAGAATTCTAAAAACTTTGCAACAAGAAAGCAAAGAACATATTCCAAATGGGCAAAAGCAGATGCCTCACCCAGGGGAACACATGTGAGGAGGGGGAACAAGTGAGAAGATGCTCATCACCAGATATATTTAGTGAACTGCAAATTAAAACCACAGCATGTTGGGGTACCACTCAAGAGCCAATAAGCTGACAGTTGAATACTACTCATTTCCAAAGAGATATAAAGCCACTGTTAGATTACATTACCTAGGTAATACAAACATCATGAGAACAGAGCTCCAAGCTGGTAGGCTCTGATAGGATATGATAGCTTTTTTATACATGACTACAGGGGTTTTATATTTATTCAACTATTTATGAAGGAGATCTTCCAGTACCTAGCCAAGCAGGTCAACTGCACTTCCCATGAAAACACAATTCTACTCTACTAGACACAGCAGTAACACTTACACACGAATGATACGAAAGATAAAAACAAGAACGGTGCTAACTATATCAACTGCAGTTCTTACGTTAAGAAGCTGAAAATGCCCACTTCCTTCAAATAGGAGGATGGATAACTTATGAGGAAATATTAAACAGCAGAGAAAATGGATGGCCTACACCCATTTTGCAAAATACTAGATTCTCTAACACAATGAAAAGAAAATGAACAAAATCCAAATTCAAACACTGATGAAGTCATAAAGTCTCCTGTTTAGTCAGTTTCCCAGTTTCCTCTCAGAAGAGAGGGAATAGTGATCTCTTTCTGCATGGCCATGCCTGGAACCTGATACATAAAGAATGTTCTTAATCTGATTGATTGTACATTTGATAGCCACCAGCTGAAAATGCACATGAACCACTATGAATGATACAGAAAACTTGGACACTAGATATGCTTTACTTCAAAAACATTTTTGATGAAGCTAGAAACAGTGTATTGAATTATGAGAGAAAAGAGAGCAACAGGTGACAGAAGCTCAGGATGAAGGAACAGAGAAACGCAGGGGAGGAGAAGGTGTCGGGCATGCTGACAGACCTGTCCCACACCTGACTGCGACACTGGGTGCGCTGCACATGCATTGCCAATTCACAGTCCCCCCAGCACCCCAAAGCATACCTCAGTAATAAATGACTTAAATAGAAATGGTAATAAATTAGTTTATCTTCATGTCTGTGCAAAGTTAATTAATTACTTGTGGCATTAAAGTTTGGCCTTTTTTTTGTCAATCAAAAAAAGAATTAAGCAGTCTATATATTTACACTGAGAATACAATACACATTTGTTTGGATGGATAAGTTGATGGATAGGTAGCTAATGGATGGGTAGCTAGATGATAAATGAATAGAAAGAAGATAGAATATAGATAGATGTTAGCTAGACAGATGGAAGACAGTAGACAGATGATACATGTGCAGGAATCAAATAAAAAAAAAAAAACCCAAAAATTTCCCAACAAATAAATAACCAAAATGGTTTTTTACTCAGGAGGAAAATATAAAGCCTATTTGCCTCAAATATTTATTTTTTATTTAATTTATTTACTTGCTTTAAAGGGCTAGAGATGGGGATGAGAGCCTCATGTATGCTAGGTAAATGCTCTGTCACTGAGCCACATCCCAGACCCTGCTTTCATGTAGTTAAATGCTGGCTGTTTTCAAAACATCCAAAGATTTATAATGTACATAAGTAAATACCAGATAGTTTCTAAAAATTCTTTTAAACTGAACCTTTCTCAAGATAAAAGTTGATACTGTTTGCCTCTCATTGCATAAGGCCATTTAACTCTCCCATGCCCATGCACAGCTTAGAATTGACCTCATGTTTTTCAAAATAAGCATTAGCTATTGAGCCAGTAGCACTGGGTAGGCAACACAGATTTGTTGTGTAGCTACTGGCACAAGCTAATGACTCTATGAATGTGCTCTTACCACGTGTGCTGGAACCTGTTCAGCTTTTGCAGCAGGAGTTCCGGGTCTTGGATAGAACTGGTTGATGAAGAGGCTTGGAAATTTGTACTCTTCAACAAGTTTCACTGTTTCTTGAAAATCTTGATCGGTTTCTCCAGGAAAACCACAGATAATATCCGTAGCAATCGTTATTCCAGGAACCCTGGAGAAGAAAAACAGACAAAAATGTAAAAGAAGTTGACTTTGAGCCAGAATTATTTTTATTTCCTTGACATTTTAAATGGCATTTAAAAAAAATACAGTTTATTTTTAAGGACAGAGCACTTGAAAATATTTTTGAAAAGCTCTCAGTACTAAGAGGTACAAAGAATAGTGGCCCTTGGTCATCCTCAGAGTCACTCATATTTAATCCTTTTAGACACTTTTTTTTTTTTTTTGGCTTTATTTTCTCCTCACTGTCTTAAAACAGATGCTTACTCCGCTGTTTCTGGATTGTTGGTTTTCCAAGGCAGTATTTAAGGACTTTTATATTACAGTGAACTCGCTGTAAATGTACTCTAACCCCAGGCTCTTTAATACTGTATTGCTGCAGAGATAACTTGTGGACCAAGTTGCTTCTCAACAACATTTAAGGTTTTTTTTTTTTTTTTTTTTTTTTTTTTAAGGATATAACTGCTTCTTTGAAAAGTTTAACATTCTCTGTTTCTAAGCTGGTATCTTCTCAAAGCTCTATCAAACCTACCAAAAATCAACAGCAGGATGAACTCCTGCACAGTGACAGAGAGAGTACAAACATGTACAGTGTCCTGGGTTTAACGCCTGTCATAGGAAGGGATGGCAAAACAAAATCAAACCTTTTTTCTAAACACTTGATGTATTGGATCGTTCAACATTCATGTCCCTTGCTTCTGAAAAGGCCACTTACTTTCTTATAGTATGCACTACTCTTGCTTAACTGCTGTTCCTTGCTCTCCTTTTCCTGACTTGTTTTCCTGGACCTAGGGTCTTGCTAATTTTTGATTATTTTCTTCAGTTGGAAGTGTGTTTTCAGTATCAGCTGACGCTGTTGTTAGGTCTCAGGATGTCTGAACACACAACTTATTGCCACTATCTTGGCATATTAACACGCCAAGTTGAAAAGGATAGTCCACCACAATTTTGCATTGTTCCTTTTAAAAAATGCTGATAATGAAGGCATAAGATCCACTCCTGTATACACTTACACTTTTTCAGTGCTGGATATTAAACCTAGGACCTGTGTCAGCCAGGTCAAGTGCTCTATAGCTGACTCATATTCCAAACATACATACTCCATTACATGTCTTATATCACTCTTTTTTTTAGGGTGTCAGATTTTTCTATATAATTTTAAATTTTACACTAATATGCTTTTTATTATATTTTAAAACAAGGCACAATTTACAGACTAAAGATCTTTCAATCTAGGAATCTAATTTTCTCATATTATTTCTTTAATAATTTCTCTAAGAAATTGTCGTGTCATTTCTTTAGCAATTTCTCTAGGAAATGTTATAACTATATATACGTGCATGAACACTCTTTCTCTTTCTATCTCATTTTCCATGTGTGTTTATTTGTTCTACCACAAAATTTACTTGAGCATCTTTCCCAGTCTTTAATTTAAAAAAAAAAAAAAAGACAGTAATTTGATATGTTTCAGTTTCTTAGAGATCTTTCTCCATCTTCAGTTTTCCTTTACAGGACCTTGGTTTTTGTTTTAGTGATACAACATCATTTCTTACTTAAAGATGTTAAAAATCTGTCTCAATTTCTTTGCTCTTAGCCTCTGTACCTATTTCCTTTGGGTTGAAAAATTTCATCAACAAATATGCATTTTCACTATAGTTTTGCTTTTAAAGAACAAAGCGCTAAAAACATTTTAAAAAGATGTTTTATGTGCATGAATGTCTTCCCTTCATTATATGTCTGTGTACCACATGCCTGGCACCCACAGAGGTGAGAAGAGGCACTAGATCCCCTGGAGCTGAAGTTACAGACATTCTTAGAATTAAACCCAAGTCTTCGGCAAGGGCAGTCAGTGGTCCCAACTCCTGAACCATCTCTCCAGCCTCTGCAGACTTGGAATCATAGATTGAATATAGAGCAAACTGCCTGTGTTTTTGGTAGGCCCAAATGCTGGAGGTGGTGCCATTTTCTCTACAGGTTGGCTATAAGTTCTCCTACACCCCAACAGTATAATGGTAACAAAGCAACACTAACAATACTCCAAAATTATGAATGACCCTGTAAATACTAGGGAGCATATTCCACTTCACACTATATCTATTTTCCTATCATACATGATTCCTCAGGGATGAGCACAATAGTTTTTTGGTAGAAGAGAGAAGGCTGAGTCAAACTGCAGAGCTCCTAACAAATTCCGCAAATAGAAGCTTTCCAACCACCTCTGCATAGTACTTTGTGTCTTTGTGAAGAAAACATGACACATTTACTGTAGAAAATAACCTCTTCCCATTTCAACTTTGGCTCATATAGTCATGAATTTGAATGCAATTATAACTTGTAAAGTAATTCCAAGGATTTTTCTGTGTAATGATAAATATGAGAAAAAGTTCTCATACAGAATAAAAGAAATGGTCTACCGTGACATAAATCCATTTCTTCCTTCTTGAAGAACAATCAAGGTCACACTTGAAAAACCACAGAAAAATACACTTCCATAGGAAGATGCAGAAAAAAAAGAGAACATTTTCTAGACTAAGTATATGAAGAGAAAGAAGTGTGTAAATAATTTTTAATGAGCTGGTTTTTACACTTGCCTTCTAACTACTCATGACCAAAAGAAATTCACAGCTAAAAATGGAGGCAAAAGATAACAGATGACAGAGTCCACCTCTCCCAGGAAATTAAAAATATCTTAGAAACTGACCGTGAAACATGGCAAGAAAGGAAGACAATTGGTCATTGTCCTAATTTCTGAATCAGACTAAATCTGGCAATAGCTGTGGGGTATTCCCAAAGGAAAGTCCCTTTCTGATCACCCCCACCCTTCTTCATCCATCAGTTGCACTCAGCACTGGCCGGCACCTGTTTACTTTGGCTTTCTTGGTGGTGGCGGTGGTGGTGGTGGCAGGTTGTGACCAACCTTTAAAGGAGCCACAATAAATGTTAAAATTGGAATATTAAAATATGAATGTAACTAGACAATCAACTCAAAAACTGGCCTGGTATCACAGAAAATACAATACTATGAATTGATAGCATTTTAATATTTAGAACTAGAAGCTGTTTAATTGTTTCAAAGTATGTAAGATTATAAGGTGGTTATTTATGTCATAAAAGTGGAGTCTGTACTTTACTATCAGGCAAGGCTCATCTATACATTAATTTAAAATATGCAAATGTTACCACTTATATTCTTGAAAATAATCCCTTAGGCAAGCCAACCAAAATCTCATTTACATTGTTAATTTGTCTAGCAAATACTTCTTGGTATGCAAAAAAAAAAAAAAATCAAAGAAGTTTAAAGAGAAACAAATTTTAATTTTGTATCTTGTGATTTAAGAAAAAATGATGAAGGTGTAAAATAAAATACTATTACACTGCCTTTGATACATTGAATTTTCAAAATTCTAATTTGTAAAGAAATGTTCTTTTCACAAATTTATTGAAGTTGTGAGTAAAAGATATGCAATCACTTACTAGCATGTTCTTGAATTTTAAAACTTTTTAATATTTATGTTTCTCTAGTAGTTTCAAGAAGTAATTTTAAAAGGATGAAATAAAAATATTCAAAGAGCTGCAATAACAGAGAACTTTTGAGTCATCATTTTCTCTATCTTATGTTTACTGCCAAAGCAGGTTTGTTAGATAACCTGAGAACAGAATAGGAGGATCCTAACTGCACATCTGACTGTCAGAAAAAGCTATGTTCAGTTAGGAAAGTGAGGAGCCTGTAATGAAAACATAGTATCTGCTAGCACTAGGTTGGGATTTAAGGGGTGTGTGTGGGTACCTAAGTTGGCAGAATGCTTACTCAGTATGCATGCCCTCGGTTTAATCTCTAGCACCATATAAAATAGTTTAGTGGTACAAAAACAACACAAGACAAGACATTTCAAGAGTCATTTTTGCCTTGAATTAAAAACAACACACACACACATACACACACACACACAAATAAATGCACTCCACATTTTGATTTTTTTTTTTTGGGGGGGGGGGTTCTCATAAAGACAAGTTACTCATCATCCCTATATTCCCTGGCATCTTATTACAACAACCTGTTTTTTTTTTTTTCCTTGAGTTTTAGATTTCTTAAGAAGAGTTTATATAACCGAGGCTGGTCTCAAAAATAGCCATTTAGCCAAGGGTGGTCTCAAATTCCTCCGATACTCTTCCCTCTCTTTCCAAATGCTGGGATTGTGAGTACATACACCACACCTGGCTGTGCACAATTGAAATACTACTTCAAATGCATACTTTAGTTCATTTCCATATTTTCATTTGCTGTTAGGTATTTTATTGCTAAGGATGTGAAAATGACTGAAAAGCCCGGAGTGACTGGGACAGAGCTTAACATTGCTTGGACACTGATTCCCAGGATCTGGCCAGTGCATCTGGAAGAAGCAAGTTCCTTCACACAGCTGTATGTGCTAGCACTACTGCTGCAGGTGCAGCATGAGTTATGCTGCCTTTGGCTGTGCTTGTTCCTAGTCAAAACATTCACTGATAAGTTTACTCAAGTGGACAGGGTGCTCAGAAGGGCACCTGCTGAACAAGGCCTGTATGCATCACCCACTCTTACTGCAACCTTGTCAGAGAAACAGAAACACTGAATGACAGGCCATGCACTAACAATTTATATTTCGCTTAAGACTTCTTGTAAGCCTCCATGACAAATGAGGAAAATATCATAACTGGAATAAGATTCAAGGAGGTGAATTACAGACAGTTACACAATTAGGGTATATTAAATGAGAACCCTGGTCTGAAGTTTTTAATCTCTACCGAAGGTTGTCTTCCCTCTGACCTTTGTCCACATGTGTCCATGGCATGCCTGTGCTAGAAGCATTAGTGGATCATAAGTTCACCAGGAACAAAACTTATTATTAATAATAGTTTTTCTGCAGTAATTTACTGCTATATTAAAGCCTGCCTGTATTTTTACAGTAGTATTTTAGAGCACAGTTATCTATGCTCTGTCTAGAGGTTAAAAGA